GCCATGTCCTTGGTAAAGTAGCTATGAGATGCTCCTTATCTGGAACACCAGCTGCTAATAACCCCCGTGCTAGTATCCGTCCTTATTTTTATCTGTTCGTTTACCCTATTCTAGTTTACCTAGTCACTTCTTTTCAACAACTTCTTCATCTCAAAGCTAACAGTGCCACCACTGAAAGGACAGTGAGAAAAACCAGAAGAGTGCAGGAAGCAGAAGCCCAGCCAGGCTGCGTGAGGCATCTTTTGACAAAACTGCACCCGAGCCATCATATGAATGTGAAACCACTTCTTGCACTACTCGCTTTTGGGTCTGATGTGCTGTGAGCCTCTGCAAAGCAGGTGACACCACTGGCCCTGGCCGTGAGGTCCCTGCTGTGTGCTGGACCTCACGTTTGGGTATGTGTCTGCAGCACGAGAGGCAGGGGCAGCTTGTCCAGGTGGGAATGCACCCTCTGAGCCATAGCCCCAGAGCCATTTTCTGTCTGATCAGCCAGCTGAGAGGACCCACTCTGGCACAGGAGGGGCAAGGGGTGGACAGGCATGGGCAGAGAACAGCGCTCTCCTTTTAGCAGCCACAGCCACTTCAGTTTCAGTGAGATGTGAACCTGACCTTTAGCTGTATTTCTAAGGGCTGTGAAAACTTTCCCTAGCACCTGCTCAGCTCATTTCTCTTTTTGTAGTTGGGGGGGTTTCCTTTCACCTAAGTCCTTCCACATTGTGGAAAGGTCGCAAGGTATGGGGGAGAGATGCTCTTCCAGTGAACCAGCTGAGACATCTGGAAAAAACAAAGCTTCAGACACAGAAGCCCTTCTCCATGTCTGAAACAAAACCCCGTTGAAACCCTGTTCAACTTTTTACAAACTTCAGTTCCCGCAGTCTCTTGCGACATTTTTGGAACCGAAAAAACCCAAACAAACTCAGGAGTGTCAGCTCTGGCCAAGGGTCAGCCGCACAGCCCTGGTAACCCCTCCCCAAATGAGGGATCAATAGAGCAGGGATAGTTGCAATTAAACTTTGGACCTTTTGGAAGCCCAGGGGAGCATTTGAAAGCACGGCCTGCTGTTGGTGAAAGGCAGGATTTCTATTGCACCTGCTCCACTTAGTACACCATAAATCCTGGCCCATTGACAAAACAGGTAAGTTGCAGTAGGATGCTTTGAATGCGTGTTGCTCCTGGGCAAGCTCTCTCTCAGACCTGCTCTGTGCACACTCTGTGCATCACGCTGGGAAACAAAAACCACTGTCCTGGCGTCATGGCTTCTCTATGAAATATGGAAGTGCATCCAAAACCATCCGTGACTTTCACAGGAGCATGTTAGTGACAAAATAGTGTACCTGAGTATCTCATCGAGGGAAATTGATGCATGTATGGTAAGGACTCAGTTAATTTTACAATAGCTGGGCTATGTGGCTTGTGAGAAGCACTTAGGGAATGATCCTCATTTTTATAGAAAGCCTCCACGTGGGATGTATTCACTAACTGAGAAATGTAAACCTAAATGCATCCTTAAGAAGGTGCAGGGAGCACACTGGCTGCTGAAATTAAAAGCAAAGATGCCACCCTGTTGCCTCCTCTGCAGTGGAATGAAGGTGGATGAGGACAGTCAGGCCTGAGGACAGTCCCCCATCACAGGGTCAGGGGCACAGTGACCACCTGTTGACTCAGATGCATTTAACTATTGCTGGCTTTGACTGAGAGCATCCTGGCTTGTCCCTGAGGTGACAGGCTGGGGCAGGGGCGATGCTGGGTGCTGCAGGGAATTTTTGGCCACCCGGAAGCCCCTGTTATGGCCCTCTACCACTGCCATGCTGCCCACTTGCTGTCACCCAAGCCCAGGTGTGAAAGCAGACAGGTCTGCACAACCCCTTCATCTGAAGCCTTTTCCTTGAGGAAGGAGAAAAGCTCAGAGAGAGAGCACCCTGAAGTGCTCTTTGTTTGCTTCGGTCTGAGATATGAGAAGTGTGCTTATTCTTCAGGGAAATATGTGGGGAAACGTCTGTCCCAATGAACACACATCATTCAGAGATGTCCCCCCTCCCCCAGACAACCACCATGTTCTCATGGTTTAAGCCCAGTGAGCAACTGAGTACCACAATGGCACTCGATCACTTCTCCCCACCCATCCCAGTGGGATGAGAAAAAACTATAACACAGAGATCATAGCCCGAAATAAAGGACGGGGAGGGTTTGCTCACCACTTATGGTCATGGGCAAAAGACAGACTCATCTTGGGGAGAAAAATAAAACAATTTAATTTACTAGTAGCTTTAGAGAAGAACAGTGAGAGATACAACCAGATCTTAAAGTCAACTCCTTCCCCCCACCCCTCCCTTCTCAACGGGCTCAGCTTTGTTCCGAGTTTCTTAACATCCCCCCATGCCCAGTGGTGCAGGAGAATGGGAATTGGGTTGCAGTCAGTTCATCTCATGTGGTCTCTGCTGCTCCTTCCTCTTCAGGGGTAGGGAGGACTTGTCCCACTCTTCCTCTGCTTCCACGTGGCACCCTTCCCACAGGAGAAAAGTCCTCCACAAAGCTCAAATGTGGGTCTGCCCACAGCTGCAGTTCCCTCACACACAGACTGCTCCAGCACACACTGTCCATGGAGTCACGGCCTCTTCAGGCGTTTTTCAGCTGCTGGTCATGTGGATCTGCTCCACTGCTGACCCTCCACAGGCTGCAGGCGGGTTGACCTTTGCTCTCGCCACGGGCTGCAGGGGGAACCTCGGCTCCATGCACCTCCTCCTCTCCCTTCTCCTTTTTTTCCTTCACCAACCTTGGTGTCTGCACAAGGGGGCATGAGAGTGGGGGCCATGCCCTGCACCCTCTTAAATACATCAATTGCAGAGGCACTGATTGGCTTGGCCTTGGTCAGAGCTGAGTCTAAAACTGAAGCCAGCAATTTCTAGCAGCTTCTCACAAGTGCTGTAACCATAGCCCCTCCCCTGCTACCAACCACCACCCCCCACCGAAACCCATTACACACGTGTACACAGAGTTAAGGGAATAAGACAATATACATGCACCATTTTTCAAGATTAATACCAATCTGTGATTTAATTCTGGGCAAAGGAGGGGAAAAAAAAACACACACGGTTGTGCTGGGTACACTGTGTACATGGTCCACACCGACAGGGCACAGCTCCTGACCTCCCCCTCCAGTTACCTCCCACCCTTGCTGCCAGCTGCCAATGAGAGCCTCCAAAGACTGAGAAAGTTTAGTTTCGTCTTCCCCAGAGTCTCTCTGTGTAGGACCCCAGCCAGCAAGGAAGCCTGCGCTGACAGAGGCTGCTCGCCAGAAGGTTGGTTCTCTTAAAAGTTGGGAATAATAAAAGCTTGTTAGCCTGGGAAGAGTGGGATAATAGTGCAAAAGTAGAGAATGGTTTTGGGGTTTTTTTCCTTGCTCAGCAGATAATTTAAAGCAAAATGTATGACTTATCTGACATGGGAAGGGGGGGAGGCTTTTAAAAAGCTATGCACAAAAGCTGGGTTGTGGAGAGGTTACTTCTTTGCTGCTTTCTCCTGCTACCAGAATTGTGTGCCTGCATTAGAGGAATCTGGCTGGTACTTTGCTCTCTGTTTACATTGGGCTCTCTCTTGTCTACATGGATGCTCGAGACCAAGTTCCTCTTAGCAGAGCTTTCTGGTAGGCTCTGAGGATGTGCTGGTGGAACTGCTGTCCTGCCAGAAGCTTGGATGTCATATGCTCTTATATGTTGCTGCCTGGTCTCCCTGAGCATCTTAACGTTGAAATGTCTTTGTTAATGTTTGCAGCGAAGAGAGTAGAAAGCATGTGAATAATGCTCATAGCCAGACTGTTGTGCATTTGTAAAAGTGTAGACAGTAGAGAGATTTACCGTGTGTCAGTAGTGTTGCTGTGGGTTGGCAGAGGGAAGGGCTCTGGGGTGATGGACACCCATAGTGTCCTTCTGTATACTGATGCTGCCCCTGGCTGCATTCACAGCAGCTTTCAGGATAGCCTGTGCTGTGACTGTGCTTCAAGTGCAGCCAGGAGTGGGATTTCCAAAGGAGCTGCTTTACTCCAAAGTGTGGAGGCAGGGGGCACCATTAGGGTGCATCACCCGGTTCATTTCAGTTTCTGTTCTGGCTTCTGAGCTCAGGAGCTGCACAAGGAGGAGGAGCCTGGCCACCCGTGCCTTATCTAGCTGCTGTCGCTAAGAAGGAAAAAAAAATCAACCAATTTGTAGCAAAAAGGCTTAACTAATATGAACAGGCTGTTTATCTTTTTTTTTTCCTCTTCCCTTTTCTTCCGTGTAACTGGAAGAGCTTGGCCTCAGGGCAAAACTTGCTTTTAATTGTTATTTGAGAATGTTTTGTGCTGTCTTATACTTGGCTGGGACAATAGGAACGCAGGGGTTTTTATGTTGCCTTTTTTTTCAGACCTGAGGCTTACTGGTTTTACTGGCTTGCTTAATGGCAGGAAGGCAAGGACTGGGGTTCAGGCTTGGGACTTAGCATTGAGTTTCTGCCTTTATGGCTCTTTGTGACCAGAAACCGGAGATACTGGTTTTTAAACAATACCTGTCTCGTGTGGAGCCTGGCGTTAGGAGGAAATGAAAGACCACAGCTGCTTCCCGCATGCTTTGTTCCTCTGCCAAAGTGTTATTTTGTCAAATACGCCAACTTCAGCAACCAAAATGCTCACCAGCTTTAGCCCAGGTTCACTGCCCATCCCTGCTTGGCACAGGGGAAATGAGTGAACTGTGTCTAAGCACTAGCAAAGCCTTTCTGGGGTGGGGACGTCTGATACTATTTTGAAGGTTGGATAAAATGGCAGAACATGCAAAAAACCTTGAAAAGACTTAAATGCAGGTAAGATACAGCTACATTTTGTCACCTCCAGCAGCAGCAAGGGAGTGTGGTGAACGGCCGTCTGCTGAAGAGCGATGGCAGCCAGCCTGGTTGGATATCCAAGGCTCAGACTGACCACGGGTTTTTTTCCTAACTGCCCTGTTCCTCTCCGGTCCCTTTCAGAACTGGGAATGGACACCCAGGCTGTGGTGATGGTGCAGCCGCAACTCAGCACGGTGATCCCTGTGGTCTCGAGGAACCACTGGCAGACGGGGCTGACTGACTGCTGCGCCGACTGCGGTGTCTGTGAGTGCCTGGTGTGGTCCCGTCTCTCGGCCGGCTGCAGGGACATGCTGCGGTCACTCCCGTGCCCTCTCAGGACTTGTTTTTCCCCTCTGCTGCTCGGGCCAGCGGTGCGATAGCAACAGCTGCGTTGCCTGGTTCTGCGGGTTCCTCCTCCGGCACCGGCAGGGCCAGGTGGGCAGAGTCTCACCCGCTGCTGTGTTTCTCCCCCTGCCAGGCTGGTGTGGGATGCTCTGCTTCCCCTTCCTCGCCTGCCAAGTGGCTCAGGACATGGATGAGTGCTGCCTGTGCGGGACCAGCGTGGCCATGAGGACCCTCTACCGCACCAGATACAACATCCCGGTCAGTGGTTAACCCGGCCCCTCGCCATGCTGCGAGGCTGCAAGATGATGGGCCCCTGAGGCCCCTCTCTGCTTTCTGCTTGCCTTTTTCTTTTTTTTTTTTCCACTTCCGTATCTGACTTGATGCCAGGAGCACAGGACAGGGGTTGGGATGCCCTCAGCCATGCCAGTCCCTGGGCTGGTGGTCAACAACCCACGTCAATCAGACGCAGCTCCTTCCCAGCCCCTTTCGTGAGGGCGCGCATCCTGACTTCAGCCACCGCTGACCACAGCAGCTCGCAGTGGCTGGCAGCTGCTTCCCCACACCATCACCCGTCTTGAAAAAATAGGAAGGATTTGAGATAGTTGTCAGCAGACTGAAGAATAGATTTAAGTTGGTTGCACAGACAAAATGCCACAATCTGATAGCTGAAACGTGGGCTTTGAGAAGCCTACATCCCTAATCAGTTTCTTCCTAACAGGGGTCCATTTGCTCTGACTTCTGTGCCACTGCATTCTGCCTCGTGTGCTCTGTTTGCCAAATGAAGAGAGACATCAAGCGGAGAAGGCAGCTGGGCATATTCTGGTAAGCTGGGTGTGCTGGCATCAGTTTATAAAGTTGCTGCCACATGCAGCTGAGCAGCTTTCCAGAGTTTCTTCCCCCGACACCTGATGTAAGAAACGGGGTTGCTGCAGTGGGGAGATGGCAACCAATGGGTGACAGGATTGGCCTGGCCTGCAGCAAAATGTGGCTGGGAACCTCATGCGGGGAAGGGGGAGGCAGAACTACGGGACACATGGTGTGGTGAGGCACAGCCCCACTTTCTGACCCTCCTCTCCTGTCCCTTTGCAGATGCTGCTGTCCTTGCTGCACCCTGCAGAGCTGCTACAGGCAGGAGTCACCACTGCCCTGGCCCTTGGGAAATGCACCGCGGGCTGTTTGCCTTGATTGTGGTTGATTTCCCCTTCACCGGGTAGCACCATGAATAAAGAGCAGAGTTTACCTTCCTGCCTATGTGTGTGTGTCACCCTTTGCAGCACCTGAGAACACCTGTCCTCCTCCCACTCCGTTAGCTGCTGGCACCAGCTCACCTCCTGCGTTGCAGCGACATGCTCTCCTGCAGACCCTGAGCATGAATTCCCACCCGCATGCAATTAAAAACCTGGTTGGGTTGTGGGTTGGCCAAGTCCTCTCCACAGGCAAACCCTGCTGCCTCCTGGCTGTGGCCTGCCAGAGCACGCCTGTCCAAAAGGCATCAGGGAGGTGGCAGCAGACTTATATCCACCCTCTCTCCATCACTCTTGGCGAGATTCTGAAGGTTTTTTGATCCTAACACACCTCCCATGGCTTTATTCTCTAAAGAAATACATTTTTTTTTCCCTTTGCCTTCACCTTTACCACAAACATTGCAAAGGGCAGGTAGAGCCTCTGTCAGTGCTGTGGGATGGATCTGTGCAGCAGCATTCCCACCTACCTGAATCCCAGATGGCCCAGATCATCCTGTGAATAATCCTTGGAAACAGAAAACTGTGTTTTTAGCTTAAGAGAGGAATGTGGAGAGAAGGGGAGAAGAAATACCACGCTGCCATCTCATCCCAGCACACCGCGGTGTGACTTTTTAGCTGTGCCTGTGTGCACCTGCACACAGGCAGCACCTGTGTCACCCCGAGGAGTTGCAGTTCCTTCTTGCCAATGCTCAGCCTTAGTGAAGGAAAGGTGCTGCCCCTCCAGCAGCTGAAGGCTTATGGCAGTGCAGAATCCCAAATGTAATCTGTCCTTCCCAGAAAACTGCTAGTGTCATGTTCCACTGGGGCTCTGGGTCTTGTGGGAGAGGTGAGGGGCAGCAGCGAGAGCCCAGCAGAAGCAGCAGCAAGCTTGCAGCCTTCAGTGAGTGGCTGCAACTGCGCAAAGCAGCACCTACACCAGCATCCTGTCTGTTGGAGCAGAGGTCGCTCGCCAGGCAGCACCCAGTGCATATAAAGGATGAGAACCAGGAAAAGGACACACGACTCCTGCGACAAGGGCGGCTCGGCAGGTACGTATGAGGCTGGCTTTGCTTCTGCAAGAGCTGCGACACAAAGCTATGGGAACTGTGCGTGGCTGAAGAGATGTTGCCTGGGAAGGGGAAGGGGTGGAAAGAGAAGTGAGATTTTCTGCCTGGAAAACTACCTCAGATCTAGACCAGAGCATGGCAAATGCTGCTGACAGGGAGCTCGACAGAAATGGGCAGCAGAGGTAAAGGATGTACATGTACATATATAGAACAAAATGCTGCTTTACAACCCTGGTTATCGGTGATATGTGGCTGCCTCCACCTCAGGACCCATTTTTTTCCTCATCGGCTGTTCCAGCACCGCTGGTGGTGCCGTGGAGCTGTAGATCTGTGATGTGCTGGGCGTGCTGGGCCCTGGTCATCTCTCGGGAGAGGAGAAGAGAGGCTTCGCCTGCTCTGCACAGCAGCCTCTGTCCACGCTAGGACGTGTTGTGCTCATACTTGGGGAGAGGCAGGGAAAGTCTGTGGCCAGCCCTGCCTGCAAAGGGTGCAGTGTGTGCACAGCAGTGAGCGCTGCTTGGCTGCATTTTCACCATATGCTGCTATTAACCTTATTATCATGCCCCTAAACCTGCTGCTGCTGCTGCTCCCATGTGTGTTGCTCCCCATAGTCCCTGCAGTCCTGCCCACTGCTTGGCATCCCTGTCCCTGCATGGGACCCTGTGCTCTCCCTGCCTGATGTCCCTACTGCACAGCCGCTCTGCGGTCTGTCCCCTCCCCTGCCCCTCCTGGCTCCTGCCTGCCCATGCCCAGGCTCCTCACAAGGGCTGCCATTTTGGGGTGTCACATCAGCTGCAGATGTGGCAGGAATTACCGGGGCCTCGTGCGTGAACAGGCGGGACCCCTGGCCAGGGCAGAGTCAGAAGGTGTTCGGCGACGGCCACTGCCTGCAGAGAGCTGGTCAGGAGCAAATGATGCAGAGGCATTTTACAAGCTTTCTTCCCTTTTTTGATGTAATTCAACTTCCCTTCACCTTTCTGCTAAGTAGCTGGGGACAATGGTTGCCTGTAGGGTAACAGGCTATGTCTGACAGCAAAGATGTGTGGAGGCCAGTCTTTAAATGACGGGGGAGTCACAGGGGCTGCCGGCACAGCCACTTACCAGTTTGCCACCTGTCAACAACAGTCAATACGTGTGCAATGCCGCAGCCTGTATCTCTCTGGTGTCAGCCACAAGTACTGCACTTGATGGCACCATCTGAGTGCTGAGTAATATGCTTATTCCACCATATTCCTGGAAAACTTGTGTTTAATACTTAAACTATGTGTAGATATGTAATTCTGTCAAAACCAACCCTGTTCACTCTATAGTGAATTTACAGGCATTAATGCCATCATCCCTTGCTTCAAGAGGTAAATGCTTCCGCTGTTTTTCTTTTTGCTCCTCCCAGCATCCCGAAACTCAGCTGCTGCCTTGTCACACAAGGGCAGGGTGCTTCAGGGTGGGTAGGGCTGCTTGGCCAGCACCCAGGCAGGAGAAACGTGTCAGAGCTGGGCATGGGCAGGGGGACACCAACTGTCCAAAGGTGCCCTGTTAAACACCCGTAATGCCCATTGGGAAATGCCCGTGGGCTGGACAGGACCTTCCTGGGCAGTTGTCCCAGGACCCCTCTCGGGCAAAGGAGCAGCAGCCTGTGGTTACAGGGTCCAAAGCTCAGGCTGCTTTGCTGAGGGTGTGCAGCTCTGTGCTGGGAGTGGCAGAGAGCCCTTGTACCTGTAAGAGCACAGGTGCCTTTGCATCTCATCCCCATGCTGCTTAGCAGAGTGGCGCTGAGCCTAGGCACAAGGCACGGGGCAGGGAGTGTGGGTCTTCCTATGGGAGCATCCTCTATTTTTCTTTTTTTTTTAAATGAAAACTCCAAAGCTGAAGTGAGAATGTAGCAGGGAGGGAAGGGACCACACATGAACGTCAGGGAGCTGTTATATGGGCCAGCTGGGTTTGGGAACGGTGCTGCAGAGTGGGAGCTTTGCTGTTTTCAGAGGTTGTAGTCCCTTGCCAGGGAAAGGTGGGTAGGAGCAGGACTCCAGGGGGCTATTGTGGGACCTGAGGAAGAGGAGATAAGGCACATGCACAGACAGGCAAATGGAGGAGGGGTGGGAAATGATGACTGGGCTTAGGGTGATTGAAAAGCACAAGGAAAGCCTGAAGTCTGCCAAAGAAAGCAGGTGAAGAAGGAAAAGAGAGAGAGAGCAGGAGGCAAACAGGCTGAGATTCTCAGGGAACAAAGCAAGGATTAAGGCGACTACTGAGAGTTTGGGAGAGCTATAAATGAGCTGTAATAGCTTTGGGACACTGCAGACGTAAAAAATAAAATAACACTTTAAGCAGATAATGATGAAAGTTGAACTGGGGATAAGATAGAAGTGTTGAAGCAGTGAGGGCCTAAAGCAGAAGGACTTCTGCAGCATCATTCTCTGATGGCTTTTCCTTCCAGACCACAAACTACCTGGAAGGACTTGACCGTGTGCTGGCAATGGCCTCTCACCATGTGATCACGGTCCAGCCCCAGTTTTCGGCTGCCCCACGGCCAGGCGAGTGGCAGACAGGGCTCATGAGCTGCTGCTCTGACTGCGGCGTGTGTGAGTACATGCATACCCCCGGTTTCTGGTGTTTTCCCTGCTCTTTCTGCAGCATCACCCCTGCTCCAGGTCGGCCAAGGTGGAGAGCCACTGTTCCCACAGCCCTGGCCAGCTTTCTCCCCTCTCCTCTTTTCTTGCACCCCCTCAGCCAAGCCTGTTTCTCTACAGGTATTTGTGGAGCCTTCTGCTTCACCTGCCTGGGGTGCCAGGTGGCTGCAGACATGGATGAGTGCTGCCTGTGTGGGTCCAGCGTGGCCATGAGGACGCTCTACCGCACCAAATACAACATCCCGGTTAGTGAGTGCCTGTGGGGTCTGCCCCGATGGCAGTGACAGCTGTGGTCACAGGCCAGGTGCTGGGTGTACACTTGGGGAAGGGGAGAAGGGTGCCCCAAGGGGAGAGCAGGGGTGGGGAGTTCCATGGGCAGGGAGCGAGGGATACCTCCGCATCCCTGCCATGAGCCGGGGTAACCCCACTGCACACAGCGCCATCCTGGCTCTTTGGGGTGCTGATGATGGAAAAATAGGAAGATTTAAAAGCTTGGATGGGAAGGGGTTCTTCATACACTGTCCCTTGCCCTGCAGGGCTCCATTATGGATGACTGGGCAGCCGTGGCGTTCTGCCCTATGTGTGCACTCTGCCAGCTGAAGAGAGACATCAAGCGGAGGAAGGAGCAGGGCATATTCTGGTAAGCTGGGCATGCTGGAGCTGCTTTATAAAGCTGTCCCATCTGGAGCTGAGTGTGTTCCTGGACTCTCTCTTTCCACCAATGCTTGACTCAAGACACAGGGTTTCTGGCAATGGCCAGGTGACAAGGGTGACCTGTCCCATAGCAAAATGTTGCTGGGAACCTCATGTACGATGGGGGGAGGTCTGCTTAGGGCTCTTCACCTGGGTCCTGCCAGTGAGGCAGGACTGGATGGGGGGGTACACATAGTGTGGTGAGGCACATCCCCACTCTCTGACCCTCCTCTTGTCCCGTTGCAGATGCTGCTGTCCTCACTGTGCACAGTTCTGCACTGTACCCAGAGCTGCTGCAGGCAGGAGTCACGGCTGCCCTGGCCCTTGGGAAATGCACCATGGGCAGGTTGTCTTGATAATGGTTGATTTCCCCCTTTGCTGGGTAGCACCAGCAATAAACAGCAGTTTACGTTCCTGCATGTGTGTGTGTTGTTATTTATCTTTCTGTGTCCTCCTGCAATACCAGAGGACAGTGTTGTACTTTCAGATGCTGTATGGTCAGAGTGCTCATCCCCTGCTCCAAGACACAGAAGGTGGCAGCAGGGGAGTGACAGTGACGGTGTGGGGACTGTGGTTCCTCTTGGAACATCCTCTGCACAACCTTGGAGCTGCTGCTCCAAGTGAGATCCCCTCCACAGCTGCAGGTGTGGGGTGTAATACACAGTGGTGGAAGAGCTGTCCCAGCTGCACCTTGCTGAGGCTTGGGGGGTGCAGGGGTTTATTCATTACCTGCCTTGGCAAAGAGGAGGGAAGAGGTAACTCTGGGGCTGGGGTTGCTCTGCAGACGCAGTGGCTGCAGCTGACAAGTACTGGCTTAGACTGCTTTAAGCTTTTAACAGAAAAAGGGGTGTTTTGCCCAGAGTGGGTGGTGGGCTGGAGTTGCGCAGAGCCCTTTGGCTCTGGCATGTCCGTGCTTCTGTCCTGGCACCTTTGGAACAGAAGTGGGTTTTATTAAAAAAAATAAACAAACAAACAATAACTTTCCCACCTTTGATTTTCCTTACTGTGCACCCTGGCTCCTGCCCACCCAATGTCCCCCGAGAGCCTCCATTTTGAGGGCTGAAAATGGCCAACTGAGCCTCCAAGTCTCAAAAATGCAGCACACCCTTCACTTTTTTTCCTGAGCTCCAGAAATGCAGGACTCAGCTTGCATTTTTCAAGCACTGAAGATGCACAACTGAGTCTTTTTCTGCGCTTTGAAACTGCAGTGCTTACCTACCTTTTGAGCCCCAAAATAACAGGGCTTCATCTCCATTTTCTAACCTGAAAAATGAAGGATTTACTTAATCTCTGCTTTCAAGCTCTGAAAATACAGGACATCAGTCTTTTTCTGAGCTTCAAAAACACAGGCATCTGCTTTTGAGACCCATAACCAGCCCCACCAAATTATTTTCAGGACCCAAAAGCATCATGTCTGTTTTAATGCAATAAAAATGCAGGATTTAGTCTACAATTTTAGCACTTAAAACACAGCATTTTTATTTTTTTCCTCTTGAACCCCAAAAGCATAGGACTACGTCTCCATTTCTGTGCTTTGAAAGCACAGGACATAACTGATTTCTGAGTTTCAGGAATGCAGGACTCTTGCTCTGGTTTTAAGCTCCATAACCTCATCCCTTGGTCTCTGTTATGGCGGCTGAGAATGCTGCACTCAACTTCACTTTTCCAACGCTGTGTGATGTTGCCAGTGGGTCCGTGTGGCCCACCCACAGCCCTGAGGCGCCACATGCAGTTTCAGGGAGTGCTTGGAAACTGGGATGGGGGAGGCAGGGAGAGCTCAGCCCCATGTCTCTGTGGGGTAACACCAGCATGGGCAAGGGGTCACTTTATTTCAGGCACTACTGACCTGCGGACAAATGGGACCTCGCAGCCGGACAGCGCTGCCCGCGGCCTCACTCCCCGCCCCAGCCCGGCCCGGCTCCCCGTTCCGCTC